AAGGATACACTCCTCGTGTGTGATTTGGAAAATGTAACTGAAGATGGGTTCTTTGCGTTGGTCGTCATATATTTTATTGCTGCGTAGTCAGTTATATATGGTGACTCGGTTAGACTGGTACCTTATCAGTCTCTTGAGCCCGGGTCACTGTATGTTTGTTAGAGCTGTTCTACACTTTTGGCCCATTTGAGGTTACTTTTTCCAGAGATTTGCTTTGTATTTCTTCACTTATTATCTTGTTTGTGTTCCAACCATGAGTTTCGGTTCTCTAGTGCAGCAGGTGGGTGTGGGTGTGTTCTGTTGTGTTTAAGAAGGGGGGGCTGTTGGTATGCTGTTCTAATGACCTTACATAATGTGTTAATTTCTTGGTCTATTGTTGTCCTGAATTGGTTGATATCAGGACAAGAAATTGTGACATTACATTATATGAATTAAATAAACACTCGAAATGGGTGATTACCTTAAATGGCAATGTCGGAGTTTATATTACATCAAACTAAGTACAAAGTATAAAGTTAGGATATCCTACAATATAAACTGATACTCAAGGTTTGCTGATGTGGATGGAGGTCAGGAATTAACGACTGAGCTTAGCTGGTGAGCCCCTCCATGACGCCGGTTTTTACTGAAGGTGGTGAGTATTGTGTTTCTCTGGTCAGGATCGTTAATGAACTGATGATGGTAGGTAACTTGACATTCAACAGTAGCTGGTAGGATGCGCAAGCAGACAAAATGGAATGCAGACTCGAGCAAGAATATTATTTAAATCAGGAGTAATTATTTACTTTTCAGGTAACTATAAAATAATACTGAAACTAAAAATAACCTAAATTAAATGCAACATATATTTAACTTCATAACAAAATTTCTTACATTATTTCTATCGTTCTGCTATTCAACATATTATATTAGAAAGTACGATAATTGTGATTATCTCCTGCTTCCCTATGGTCTGTAGGATTTTCATGTGCTTGAAATTAAGGCTGCAGTTTTATGTTGAATGGTTCCAGTTTGCCTGTTAGGGATCCTCTTCTGTAGGTGTGTACGGTTATTGGCGTTGCAGAGATGGTCTTGCTTGTAGGTAGATGGTCGCTGTAGGTTGCTGGTCAGTGTTCGAAAAGTTAGTTGTTGAAGCATCTGCCTTTCGTTATCGCGATGTCTGGTGTAGTGGCTGAATTCCTGTTGTAGAATGTGGCGACATTTTAGCTATTTTGCTGGACTTTTTTGTTAGATATGTGACGAGTGAGGCCTCTTCCAACAGTGTTGGTTGTCCTTTTACCGTTTAATAGTGGATGTCTGGTGAAACCTCAGCATTCAAGATCAACATCGGAAAATAGCCTCAAGCCGAGAATTCAAGTGTACGAATCCAATCCAGGAAAAAAAAGACCTGGATTCGTCACTGGCCCCAACTAAGTCAAAGATGATATCCACGCAATAAAAGGGCTTACGGTTATTCGCCCACAAGTAAATTCGCCCACAAGTCCATTCGCCTACAAGTCCATTCGCCCACATTTAGAGTTTATTCGCCCACACTTAGGAGTCGGTTCACCCACACCTGAAGGCAGTTCGCCCACACTTTGTCAAGTTCTATTATATTCGTGTACTATAAAACAATGTAATATATACAAATTAAGTCTTAGGTTGTTTATTCGGTGACTGTCAAATATAAAAACCTATATAAAATACACAAACTAAAAAGTTTTAAAATGTCAATCACAAAACTAACATAGAGTGGATTTAGGATGTTTGGTCACACATCAGATGCTGACTGTTCCATTGAGATGGGCGCAAGCTCTCAGAAATTGGCAAGCTGACCTCTTGTTCCTCAAGTATTCTTCCCCAAGAGCGAATGTTCTGGCCTGCAACTCCGTATATTTTCTTCGCTGGATCCTTCGGAGTTTCTTTTCTGATACCAGCCTTATATGTACAGAGGTTAAATGTTCGGTGTTAAAATATGAAATAATCATGCTGCCCACAAACGTGTATTCGGTGTTGAAATAAGAATTTATCATAATGTTGACCATAAAGAAGGAAACTAAGATCAAATTGCTTTGCCTTTAATATCTCTGACTCATACCGCTGACATAATATCATCTCAAACACTTTGTTTATTTAATATAACATGGTAGAGTATTTGCAAAAAATCCTTCTAATTACTTATTATTTCCTAGCTTACCATATATTCATATTCTTTGCCTATAATATCAGCATATAAAATAGCAGCTATTCAGGATTAAGGGATAAGTGTAAGAACTATGTAGCAAAATATTAACTGAGGTTGACTGTAATCCTTTTATGTAAATGAAAGAAGAAAATAAAATAACATACTTTTTAGCTGACCTAAATTTGTCTGACTGACGGATAAAATCAAATGAATTGTACAGTACAATATAATTAGTAATTAACCTATTTCCCAAACATGGCTCGATGGACTCAAACTTGATAAAAACAGTCAAAATACAGGGCCATTCATTTATTCGAGAATCCTGAATTTAGGGCATGCAATAAACAGGAACCTAAAAATCAGTAGGAATAAAGCGTGATCATTGCAAAGACCAGTTTATCAATGTTCTAAAGATTCAGCTCCCTAAGTAACGTAATGTACAGACTCCTTCAAGATCTTTCGAACACTGCTAGAGACAGCTGGCAACTCAAGGCCGATTGTTTACTATATTACCTAGTAAAAATATGAATGAATGTAAAAGTGATCGGTGATTGGTTACTGAGTTCCCCGTTGCTTAATTAATGGTTGGGCTTTGTTGTTTCGCATTATATTGTACCTTTCTGCTGGTATATACTGTTAATTTTATTTTAAAATGGATAGAGCAATGAGCCAATCTATATGAATTTATGTTAAGACAATTAAACATAAGTAAAAATAGGTATGTTAAAGAACATCATACATCAGGCACAGCTGTGTGCAGGCTGTTTATGAGGTTGCCTGTTTATCATTAATTCATACTTATATTATCTTCAAATGTTTATTCCCTTTTGGGTAATTAATCCAGTTGTACGTAACCGATCCCAAACAGATTTCTTTCTACTGACGCTGATTTCATGCAACACAAACAGCTGTTTTAATTCGCTTTGGGATTAAGCAGAATCATCGGTTCACTGCTACCTGTAGTAAGTGTGTGTGTGTGTGTGTGTGTCAATGCTTGTCTGTGAAAACAGTTGTATAAATGAAACAGTATTATGAAGTTTATTTAATGAAATTATTTGTTTTACATTCCCTGTGAGGCATTAAACAAAAATCTATATATAATGTGTTATTTTTCAACTAACCACCGCGTTACAATCCATGCAGGGTGGATAGGACACCTACCGTGCATGGAAATTATGTTTTCGGGAAACGGGAAAGCACATGCACGTACCGAGGGAAGCGTAACTTTTTCGAGTATTTCTAAATACTGTTCAGTTTGGAATCTTCCTTCTATGTCAGTCAGCTTTCCAACTCCAAGCAAATATATCCATCCTCAAACAATGCAAGTCACATGGCCACTCAATGCTTCCTCATAAATATGCTGTCTAGCATATCGGGTGTTGTTCCTCCTCCTTCACTACTGTTCTATGTGTTACCTGGGTCCTTCACTACTGTTTTATGTGTTACCTGGGGTCATTCACTAATGTTCTATGTGTTACCTGGGTCCTTTACTGATGTGCTATGTGTTACCTGGGTCCTTCACTAATGTTCTATATGTTACCTGGGTCCTTCACTAATGTGCTATGTGTTACCTGGGTCCTTCACTAATGTTCTGTGTTACCTGGGTCCTTCACTATAGCTCTGCGTGTGACCTGAGTCCTTCACTATAGCTCTGCGTGTGACCTGGGTCCTTCACTACTGCTTTAATTTGTCCTGGGTCCTTCATTATAGCTCTATGTGTTACCTGCGTCCTTCACTATAGCTCTGCGTGTGACCTGGGTCCTTCACTACTGCTTTAATGTGTCCTGGGTCCTTCATAATAGCTCTATGTGTTACCTGGGTCCTTCACTACAGCTTTATGTGTGACCTGGGTCTTTCACTACAGCTCTATATGTTACCTGGGTCCTTCACTACAGCTTTATGTGTGACCTGGGTCTTTCACTACAGCTCTATATGTTACCTGGGTCCTTCACTCCAGTTCTGTGTGTTACCTGGGTCCTTCACTACTGCTTTATGGTGACCTGGTTCCTTCACTACCGTTCTATGTGATACCTGGGTCCTTCACTACAGCTCTATATGTTACCTGGGTCCTTCACTACAGCTCTATGTGGGACCTTGGTCCTTCACTACAGTTTTATGTGTGACCTGGGTCTTTCACTACAGCTCTATGTGTGACCTGGGTCTTTCACTACTGCTGTATGTGTGACCTAGGTCCTTCACTACAGCTCCATGTGTGACCGGGGTCCTTCACTACTGCTTTAGGTTGAACTGGTTCCTTGACTATAGCTCTATGTGTGACCTGGGTCCTTCACTACTGTTGTTCGTGTGACATGGGTCCATCACTACAGCTCTATGTGTGATTTGGGTCTTGCTTTACAGCTCTATGTGTGACCTAGGTCTTTCACTACTACTCTATGTGTGACCTAGGTTCTTCACTTCAGCTCTGTGTGTGTGTGACCTGGGTCCTTAACTATTTTTCTATGTATGACCTTGGTCCTCACAACAGCTCTATATACAGTATGACCTGGGTAATTAACTATATAGTTCTGTGTGTGACCTAGGTCGTTCACTATATCATCAGATTTTAGACCGGCGTCCTATTTTTAAGTCTATTTTCTTTTATCTTGACGTAATCTTATTTAATTTAAAACGTTATAATCCTGATGCTAAACATAATACTATGAACTTTGCTGTTGCTGTTATCTGAATAGACTGGGGTGTTTTAATAGCCTCATCATTAATTCTTGAATTCCAGCCTTAATTTCTTACAACAGACATTAAAAAAAACTGGGTTACGAAAATCCGCCATAAACGTCGTATATTGGCATACTGTGAATTCTGATATACATTAAGGGGGATGGTTCACATGCCTGAGTGAGAAATATCATCCACCTCTGAATGATTAAATTATGTAAGCATCATAGACAGGTTCAACACCAAAGAAAACTAAGTATGACCTACAAGTGAACTATGATGAATTAGAAGTCCCTTTTCTTGTAGAGTATAGTTGTTGATCAAATAGATACGGAACTGAGGTACAGTCAGCAACAAATATTCTGCACCCCTCGGTCTGATGGCCTCTGCAACGATCACTAACTGAGGCCATGTTAATTTGGTAAGTTGGTATTTCTGGTTGTGTGATGCATTGTATAACCAGTATGATGTATTTTTTATATCACATATAGTTAATACAGAGTAATTATCAGGAATCACCGGCATAAATGAGTGTTGTTCAGAATTCTTGGTCCGGTGTGTCATATTGTATAACACCATAAAGGTGCAGAAATTTTGTTGTTGACTGTACATGCTCTTTTTAAACTTAATATTACATCCTAGCCCTTCCTCAATCATTGCTGGGTTGGTGGAGGTAGCGGTGATATTGATACTAGTGGTAGTGGTCTTAGTGCTAGTTGCGATAGTGATCGTGCTTGTGATACAAATACTATGGTGCAAGTGCTTATACTACTAGCACTAATAGTGCTAATGTTAGTGGTGCAAATACTAATGACAATAGTGCTAGTGTTTGTGGTGCGAGTGATCGTTGTGTTGGTGCTAGTGATGCTAGTGCTAGCATTAGTGGTGTTAGTGTTGCTAGTGTTAGCGATGCTGGTGCTAGTGGTGTTGGTTCTAATGTTACCAGTGCTAGTGCTAGTAGTAATGGTGCTAGTGGTGTTGGTCATAGTGGTGCTGCTTCTGGTGCAATTGGTGCTAGTGTTAGTGGTATTGGTGCTACTTGTGCTAGTATTAGCGAGGCTATTGTTAATGGTGCTAGTGCTTGTGGTGTTAATGATAGTAGTGTTGGTGCTAGTAGTGCTAGTGTTAGTGTTGCTGGTACCATTGATGCTAGTGCTGCTGATGCTTGTGGTGTTAATGCTAGTGGTGTTGGTGCTAGCGGTGTTCATGCTAGTGGTGCTAATGCTCGTGGTACTAATGCTAATAATGTGGGTGCTCGTGGGGTTAGCGTTAGCGATGCTAATAATAGTGGTGCTAGTGTTAGCGATGCTAGTGCTAGTGGTACTGGTGGTACTGGTGGTAGTGGTGCTAGTTGTGCTAGTGCGAGTGATGTTGGTACTAGTGGTGCTGGTACTAATGATGCTTTTCACTAAACTTTGAGACCCATGAAGGAGTTATACCCTGGCTATACTAAACTCACACCAACCCTATAACAATGGCATGAGTGAATATTTCCCACCAAGTGTGAGCAAATCGCAGTGACCTGTGAGTGTGATTGCCTTAGGCCTGAACCAATAAGATAGCCTGGGAGACGTGACGTCATGACCATATGGCGTACTGTAGAGGACACTTGTGTCTTGAGACAGAGTCTGGTTTTGAAGAGAGTGGAGTGTGAGCATGTGTGTGTCATCTTACCTCATGGCGGGATATACTGTATATGTGTGAGTGCCTTTAAGGTTTTATCCGCTTCTCGAAGTGTATTGTGATTCATGTGACCCCTGTGTAACTAGCTAAGAAGATAGGTTATTATATTGAAGTGTAATTGTTAAACCGTAATATAAAGTTTTCAATAAATGCAATAATCTTTACTAAGCGACCTAATTCACCCCTCCCTTATTGAGAAAGGTTGATGTGTTATAAGTGTTTCTTGATGTTATGCAGTGATACAGTGACCCATTAGTAATAACATTAACCTTACCCAGTGTCCTCTAATATCTCGGTTATTGCATGTTATTCATGTCCTCCCATTTATCATCATCCCCGTCCATTCTTCCCCTCCCCTCTCTCCTCTGGTGCGACAGTTCATCTATTGGCACCGTAGGGGCAGGTCGCACGCGCTCGTCGTCCTCTGACCTGACTGGGCTTCAGCGCTGTGTGAAGCTTGGTACAGGTGTGAGAAGTTACCTTGTGTGCCTTAGTTATCTCGGTACCTCGACCCTTTAAACGTGGACTGTATACTTATGTATGTGCCATAACCAAACTGTATAGAGGAAAATACAGTGTGACGTGATATAGATTACAGACAGAGTGCCCCGGAGGGGGCTAGTTTATTGGGCATCCCCTTACATCCTGTGCAAGGTGAAGCGCAGAAGCGTTTACAGTGCCCAACTGGGAAGCATGCGGAGTTCATACTTGCCTTTATGACTCAAGCATTAAGGGCGTGGAAGCCTGAAGGGTCATGGGTTTTGTCAGCAAGTTACATAAAGTGACAGAATGATGAGTGTGTGGGGGGGGGGGGAATTCCCGGTACATTTCATCTGTTTATAGCAAAGCGTGGCAGGTCCCTAATAATGTCAAGTGCCAGGCCTGTGACTAGTAGGAGGGATATCTGGTCAGGGAGGGAAGATGTGTTGGTAACGGCTGGGGACGTGTATTAGGAGGTCATAGGGCAAGTGAGGATGTAGTGACGGAGGGTGTGAGAGTCGGGTTGAGTCAGTGAAGGTGGCAGTTAAGGTTTAGGTCAGAGGTCAGACATTGAGGTGCCAGGCCAGCATTCTGCTTGCTGCCGCCTGCCTACCTATCTCCCTCTTATGCATGGGACTATAGAGGTCAACTTACCAGCCATCGTTCACCACCTCTGTGCCACACACCACACACTAAGGATAACCAAACTAACTTATACAGTATTTCGCGCATTGTGTCACAGTGTTATACTTAGTAACTTCATATCAGTGTCAGTGAGCTATGACCATGTGTAAAGTGGTATTTGTGGGTGTACTGTAGTAATCAAGCTGACAGATTCTGGCATCCACAGTGCCCTGGTGCCGCGCAAAGCTTACACCCGGGCCGGGCCATGTGGCCCCAAGCAACATCCTCCCTCCCTCCCTCCTCCCAGACTCATCCTCCCTCCCTCCTCTGGTGATGGTGGCGCTCAAACGTGTTAATGACTTCATGTGGTGTCTCACGTGACTACGGTGGTTATACTGGGCTGGTGGGAACAGGAATTTAACAAGTGAGTTGGTGAATATTGGGTGTAACTCCTATCAGTGTTACTCGAGGGCACCGCTGGCCTACATATTACCTCTCTGGCCCAGTGTATAAGACCTAGATTCCATTTAAACCTAGCCATGGCAGGAGTCGACGCCGGGCGGCGCTCTGCCGATGTTCCTGACGAAGGAAACGAAGGAGATGAGGAGGACAGTCATGGCGACACTTAAGCTGGCTTTCAGAAGTTTAAGACTCGTCAGCAGAAACGCAAAATGAGGACCCAGGTAAGGAAGCAGAGTAGAGCCAATAGGTGCAGCCCTCCCATTGCTCCCCGGGCTAACTACGTGCGCCTTGCCTTCCCCGAGAACACAACCAATTTGATGAAGATTAAGTGGTTGAGCGCCCTGAATGAGGAATATTGCACGACTCCGCTGAATGTTGTCATGTCAGGTAGCACCCCTCGTTTCGTCTATGTAGGCCGAGAGGAGACGGATGCTATCCAATGCTTCATTGAGGGAAAGGTCTGCTCACTACATCTTATTAAGCGAGATGAACCTGTCCGACCCAAAAAATTACGAAATACTTTATCACCCAATTCCCCAAGGGTATTCCCCACAGTAAAGCTCTGTCACTTCAAGACGTCCACAGAGCAAGAAGACTTTATAAGGATGGTGCACAACTTAGTAGGATCATCATTGTTTGGAAAAGGAAGGAACCACCTCCTGAGGAACACTGCTTCTTTGGCATGTATGGTACCCCTAGCAACATCAGTCGGTGGACTCCTCCCTCTGTGGTGTGCTACAACTGCTTGGGGATCAATCATGTGGCGAAATACTGTCACAAGACAGCCACCTGCAGCAACTGCGCAGGAATGCATAGCACGAGGAGCTGCCCCACCAAGGAAGCTGCCTCTCTGGAGGGGAGAGAGCAGCCCCCCCCCCCCCAAATTTGTGGCAGTGTCCCAGATGCAGGAAGGAGGGTGTGACGACCTGGCACCCATGTTGCCCTAGGAGCCCGCCTCCACCCACAATAGCAGTTCCACTCAGTGATGCCAACAGCAACACTGCGGGGTCGCCTCCAGCGCCTGAAATCAACAGCTACACCTCCCCACCCAGGACGCAGTGTCCCAGGTGCAGGGAGGAGAGTGTGATGGTCTGGCACCACAGTTGTCCTGGGAGGCCGCCCCCACCCACAAAGGCGGCCCCACTCAGTGATGCCAACGTGGCCGGATCGCCTCCACCACCTGAAGTCAACAGGCACAGTGACTCCCCTTCGTTAGCCAATGCAGGTCAGGTTAAAGCCTGCCAAGTAAGTGTACCAGTGAACAATAGCAGTGATAGTGTTAGTGGAGCTTCTGAAGGAGCTGGTGCCTCCTCTCATAATGATGCCAACTTGACGGTGAGTAGCCAGAGCGAGACTGATAGTGTTGGAAGCATGAATAGGGAGAATGAGCCCCAGACTGCCAGCGTGGTCTCTTTAATAATCCCAGGTCGAAAACTGTCCATAACCCTGTACTTTTCCCAATATTTACGGAGGAACTCGCGGGACTAATGAAGGAACCTGTGTATAAAAATCCTACCAGAATAAGGGCTGTGAGGCGCATTATCAAGAACTCCAGGGGCGAAGAATTTGAAACGGTTAACTTATTGGTCAGATTGATCTATGAAGCCATCACAAGACTCTCTATACTATTTTCAAGGTGGAAGGAGTAACACGAATGCTTAGGTTCATTTCATGGAACATTCGGAGTGTTAACCGCAGAATTAATGACCACAATGGTTTGTTAAAGTTTTTAACATTGATTTAATTGGTTTACAAGAACCTTACACGTCCAGCACCCAGAAGAAAGTTGCACCCAGGATAGCTGGGTTTACAGCATACAATAGTGGAGCAGGAAGTGACCTCCTCACTTATGTAAAGAATGGTCTGGTCTGTAAATGGATCAAAACTCACAATGATGAAAGTATTCACTATCAACAATTTACAGTAAAGACAGCAAACAGTCAATTTTCGCTGTATAACATCTATGTTCGGTGTAATGAGCTGCGAGTGGACGTGTTACCAAAGCCATCAGGTAACAATGCTATGTTATGTATAGGTGACTTTAACTCTCGTCACACTGTCCTCAGTGATGTCCAGTGTAACTCTTATGGTAGGGTGTTCGTGAATTACATCAATAATCATAATATCACTGCATATGACACAGACAAAGTGACACATCTGATGGGGGGCAGACTTGATTATGTTATTGGGTATAACCTAGTAGACAGTAATGTCAAGGCTAAGGTCATCTCAGACCACCTAGTCAGAGATCATTATGCAATACTTACTGAATACACTGTTGCTGAACCCCACCCTAAGCTCAGAATTAACATTCCAGATAATCTTAAACTGCACTTCAAGGCCTACATCCACAGATGGTATGCTGGATATACACCTGGGTCAGTGGATGAATTTTGCTGTGATCTTGTAAATGTCATTACCACATATTATACCACCTGGGTTAAGTCAAGGAGGAAGGGGGGCAGCACTAAACCACCTCTGTGGAGACATGACCCCATCCTCAGCAAAGAAGGAGAGAAGGTAGAACAGCTTGCCAACACTTATAAGCAAAATAAAACTAGTAATAACCTCCTGGCATTCCTCAAAGCTAACAGAGAATTTCGTGTACTGAAAGGTCAGGTGAGAAACACCTATTGGGAACAATTCTTACAGGGGATTAATAGAACGACAACTCTAGGAAAAGTGTGGAACAAAATTTGAGCCATTACCAAGTCACCCACCCCAGTCCAACTTCATCACAGCCCTGCAGAATATGCTGACATGCTATTAGACCAATAGTCTAGTGTGTCACAAATCACTTCCCTGCCTCTTGACATACAGCAATATCTTAAAACCACACACATTAATAGGGGTTTCAATATTGAAATAGCCTGTTCCTCACCAGACCTTACCGACCAGTTTCCTATAACGCACCACGAATTAACAACAGCACTAATAAAAGGTGAATCATCCTCCCCTAGTGAAGCTGGCATAAACTATAACACCTAACCACCCACTGCTTGACCAGTATCAAATGAGCCTCACACAGGGTATTCTGCCTAAGACATGGACTCATGGAAACATAGTACCAGTCCCTAAAGCTAACTCTCCAAACTTCAGGCCAATTTCACTCACATCCTGTATGTGTAAAGTCGTTGAAAGAGTTGTTCTCAACCGTCTCATG